AAGGCTGTATTTCTTATTATGTAAGAAAAATGTGCTTAAGCCACAAACAGGTTAGGGCCGATGCCTGCTGATCCAGGAAGTTGGGGAAAGGTAGAAGAAATATAAAACATAGTAAGAATGAGACCACGAGGCACTGTGTGAAGGAAGCCACTCCAAAACAAAATGCCTATTTAAAACCTGGACCAAATGGTATGTTGAAGCTTTCATGGAATGCCAAGCTGCTAACAATTTCATTTTTAAAAAGTTAAAGAACTCCTACAACAGTAAACATGCTACAGTGATTTAAGACTTGAAAAGGTCAAGACATCCTCTAATCAGATGGGTTTCAATGCAAACATTATTTCTGGGTGGTCTGCCAAGAGTGTACCTTATTGCCAAATTCCTAATTCAAAACTATATATAAGAATGCCTTAACTGAAACACAGAAGTGAAAAAAATAAGACTTTTAAACAGCAATCTCACTTCTCTCCCAAAGATAAATGTGCCCATTAACCCTGGATGCTAACAGGAAGATTTCTTTCTCTCATATTCTATAAGACAACTTTTTTTTTTCAAGCCATTCATGAAGAAGTCAGCAATGAAAAATAATGATTTAGGAAGTTGGCTTCTGATCAGCTACTTCACTGAATTAAAGTACCATCAGGTTCATAACTTCTAAGTGAGAATATAAAAACATGGATGAAATCCTTCTGCATAAGGTCCTGTGCAAACACATGGGGAGGATGTGAGGCAGTTGGGGACAGTGGATTCACATGATACCACATATCCTCTGGTGGAGTTCACCATCTAGTTAGGGCAGGAAGAGATAAATGTGACAAGTTAAATGAAATGTTTCAATAACACTTCTAGACAATGGAAGAAATGTCATAACAACAGTGTATGATTATTTGCCAATAAGATTGTTGTTGATAATAATAGCTGCAGAATTTCAAAGAAGGTTACTTTAAGCCAGGAAATGTCCAGGGAGGCTATACAGAGAAAGCAAGAGTCCAGTTAGGTCTTGAAAGGTGCATAGAAACCTGTGGGTGGTCACATTAATAGCYTCTTAGAAATGCTGGTTTAGAGCTAGGAATGTAGCTCAGTGGTAGTGTACTTGCCTAGCATGTGGGAATCCCTGGGTTCAACCCCCAGCACTACAAAAAAGAAATGCTCTTAAAGAGAGAGAGAGAGAGAAAGAGAGAAATCCTTTAGGATGGGTGACTGGTGGAGGGAGAGAAGCAGGTGATCAGGGGCTAAGGGAGATGATGCCAGGTTAGAGAGGAACACTGGACATTCAAAAAAGAAATGGCAGCCAAATTGTGGCAACAACCCAAGTGTCAACTAATGAATGAATTTTAAACAAAATGTGTTCTGTACACACCCAGGATATATTCTTTAGAAAATTCTGACATAGGCTACTTACTACAAGGGTAATGCTTGACAACATCATGCTCAGTAAAATGTCATCACACAGAAAATTCTGAGTGATTTCATTGATATGGAGCAGCTAGAGTAATCAAATTCATCCGGAAAGTAGAGCGCTGGCTGCCAGGGTCTGGGGAGTGAGGAGAGGGGGTTGGCATTTGATGGGTATGGAGTATCAGTTCTGCAAGGTGAAAAGAGTTCTAGAGACAGATTGTCACGATGGCTGTACTACAGGAACACAGCTAATACCACTTATGATGACAAGTTTTATGTTGTAGACATATACTTTGCAATTTTTAAACATTTTAAGAGAGGAAGAATGGCAGCAAGAATGGCAGAAAGCAAGTGAAAAGCTTGGACTAGACTCAAGAGGGGTCACTGAAGTTTGGCAGTTGGCTCTGCCAAACAGGGAAGTGTCTCTGTTCAAGTTTCCAGGACTGCCCACCCTGAGCTCCACCAAGTCCATCTGCTCTGGAGTGGTGAGCAAATATTCCTTTTCTTACATTGACATAGAACCTCTTCCCTAAATTTGTTTAGAAATATTAACTCCTTTTAATTTCATGAAGGACCTTTACAATCTCTTAAAGCCTTTGGCCTCAGTAAGAGCCAGGCTCCTGCAGTCCCTCACTCCAGCCCTTACCTTTCCCCACTGGCCTTGATCCACTGTACATTGATACAAAATGTAGACAAAGTGCAGGTCACATCCACATGGCTCAGGCACCCAGAGAGCATTGGTTAGTTTAATAAAGAGGTTGGCAAAGTTGGGCTTCATCTAACTCACATTTCTAGTATCTAGCTATCTATTCTAATCTTAGAGTGGGAACCATCAGAGAACTCAATGCATGGTAGGCTAAATAACTATTTGGAGATTCATACATTCTCATCATGAAATGGCTTTAGAGTCCTCCAACAACTCTAGAGCTAGATCTCTTTCTAGAATTCTRGGGCAGTTCTCACCTAGGCTAAAGGTGTGATGCCTTCCCTCTGAATGTGAGCCTACCCCTAGAGTCCTGGACACAGGGAAATCTTGCCTGCACCTCTGCAGCTGGTAACCTAGAGCTCTTCTCATCATGGGTCCCAGACGAGATGAGTTTGCAAAGCACTGCCACTTGAATTCTGGTCCTGCCACTGGGCTGTAGGTGGACAAGGAAATAATCATTTTTAGAGTGGCCTTACTTTAAAAAGTGAACTAGAAACATGAAAATATTTTATCAGTGTCACCAATAATAAAACTGACTCCTTGGGGCTGGGGATGTGGTTCAGTAGTAGAGTGCTTACCTAGCACATRTGAGGCACTGGGTTCAATCCTCAGCACCACATAAAAATAATAAAATAAAGGTAGTGTGTGTATTCACAACTTAAAAAAAAAAACTGCCTCCTTGTATTCCTTCTGCAACAAGCTCTTCTTCATCCTATTTTTAATCATCAGCTACACTAATGACCAAAAATTATCCACAGCCCATAGGAACTTCAGAACACCAGGCATGTGAGCCTAAACTTTTATTCATGAGATTTTTTTCTCAGTTTTTAATGCTTTTGTTTTGAATTACGAAAAGATGGTGAATATATTAGATCACTTTTATTACTGGGTCTTGTTGGGYTTCAGAAGTCTTTAAGGACAGGTTCAATTCTTTTTTAAAAAAAGGAAGAGATGCTTTAAAATGTCAGGAAAATGGAGTTCCTATCATTTCACTCTCAAATTTCGTTTTTTAAATGTGGTTCTGCCAATGGTTCAGTGAAAGATGGCTTCCTTATTGTCACTGATTAGCCATGACAGGCAGCAACACGTCTCTCAGATACAGTCTCCCTTCGCCACAATTATCTAGTAATGCCTGCAAGGCAAAAGGCTGCTCAAAACCTCTTCCTTCTGGAATGCTTTTCCCAAAGGCAACAGTTCAAAGCAAACCTCTATTAACGGGAACACTGACATCTGCAGAATTCTCTGGACAGGACAATTCCGCTACTCCCGGAGTGACAGCAGAAACTAAGACGTAATTACCTCTAGTCCAGTCACCAGGAAATCAGGCTCAACAACAGTTCAGAGGGGAGGTCTTATATACCCACTGACAGCACCCCAACCCCATAAGCAACTCAGCCAGACTGTCACTGTCACTGCACRTACATCCCTCTTAGGGAGCAAAAACCTTTTTTCACTAAAATTCAAGGCAACCGACACCAAATATAAGAGAGTATCAAAGTTAAATAAACGTAACATCTCTTATTAGCCCCCAGATRTATGTGCAAATGTGACACAAAAATTACACGCTCCTTGTTAACATGGGTCATAACTTACAACAATATAAAAATGTTTTCTTATCTTTAACTCTCTTTCTTCTACTTTCCTTTTGTTTATTTTGGAGCAAATAGACATCAAGGGGTTTGGAGGAGAAAAGAGAAATAGAGGAGGAAAAAAAAAAACAGAATAAGGGGAGAGGGCAGCAGAGGATGGGCTATGGGACTTCAGCATTAGAGGAGGGAGCAGCTGRGGACCTATCAGATGTCTGTACCTGAGACAGGGAGCAGGGAACCCAGGACAGAGTCACAGGCAGCCCCTCCCAACACCCAAAATCTGGTCACAAGGAARCATCACCCATCGACCCTGGGCAAGTACACAGCATGTAGTATCTCAGATTGTTCTCTGAGCATAAATCTATGTAATATGTTTCACGACAATACAGAAATGGCAGAAATAGAGTGCTAAGCATATAATTATGATAATATAAAAATGAACATACTCTGCTGTGGTAGATTTTAATAAGATTTTAATAATATTGGTAAGGAGCCAAATTACAAAATACCCTAGAACACAGGAGTACAAAACCTCAGAGACAAAATAAAAACTCATGAAAACATAAGAGCACTCTAAAAAAGGTAATAATCTTTAAGATAAAGAAACCATTTTTTCTCAACAAAGGTACTGAGCATGTTTAATAAAAATTAAATGAGATTAAAGACAAGGTACACAGCCACACACTCCCAACCCGCAGCGATGGGGAGGGTGATATCTGTGTAGGTGAAGGCATGGCGCCAGGAGCTCAAATGAGCTCCAGTCGCCAATAGATCTGGAATAAACGGCCTCCAGGTGGGTGGAATTTCTCACAATTCACTTTCAGGACAGGAATTAATTTGCTCGGAAATGAACCACGTTGGCGTGTGCAGGAGAGGCAACCCGTTTCCACACAGCAGAAGCAGCAGCGTGGGGGAGATGCCCGACACTGCCCTCCCCACCAGCCCCCTTGCCACCACAGCAGGGTATGGTCTCGAGGAGGTGACAAGGGGAGATGGGCTGTGTCCTTTGAGAACAATTCATTATTCAGATAAACTAAATGTAACAGCTCTCCGTGACCAACAAACCAAAAATAAGAAGCCAAAACAACAGGGGTCCCCACCCCCAGAGAGATAATGTGCCACTAGCATGTGTGTGGCAGGATAACAGGAACAGAGAAAATATTCCTGGTTCAGTGGCGCTGATCATCTGTCAGGACAGATGTGCCACCCTATCTGGGTTTTCTGGGTGGATGGGTGGGGGTTTCCCTCAACTCCTGCAGCAGAGACTTTAATGCTACTGTCACTTGGGTCCTATTTTTTTTTCCAAGGGCACTACATGTTATGCTTCATTTGGGCCAGATGTTCACATCAGTGTGTCTGCTCATCCCCACTAAGAGCACAACAATTATTTATTTGTCATTCCAGCACATGCAGCAGCGAGGAGTGGCTGTTGAAATGCAGTCGCAAACAGAGAGCGGAGGCTCTTCTGCAGAGCCCCCAGCATCCCAGCAAGCCGGGCCACAGGGAGGAGACACCCCTCACGCCAGCCATCTGCAGGATTCMTTATTTTCAGCCTTAAATCAATAGTTTAAACTGATGCAGATTCCATGTGACAGGAGGGACAGTAAGGGAGATTTGAGACTTTATATTCTTTAGATGTCTACTGGCACTGTGCTGGCCATTAAAAAGTTATGTGCAACTTCAAGATGAAAGACATTAGCAGCTTCTAAGAAGAGGACAGTCCCAATCTTCTGGAGATTTAATGAGATGGAACTCACTGAAGCTTCTGACTTGGTCGGCTGTTAATTGAATCAAAGTCAATGACAATCTTGCTGCACTTGGGTGTAAATTTCCTAAACATGAAAAACAAAACATAAAGATATTATCCAATGAGTAGTTAAAGCAATTTATTTACTTTGGCTTAAACTATATTTTCTGTGCAGAGGAAAAAAAATGCTCTGGGATTTGTTTGATAGTTTATCTCTATAGGAGCCAATTATGGTGCATCATACCGAGAGAAACATGGACCAGAAAAGACGAAGACCAAAAAAAAAAAAAAAAAAAAAAAAGATACATGGGGTGGCCTGGTTTGTATGTTCTTCAGCTACCTGAGTTCATGAATTACCCGGGAGTCAGGGATTTCTAACAAGTTAGCTGCACAACATGATATCCGATTACTCGTTTTCCTATCAGATTTATCTTATTTTCTAGGAAATTTCTGCAGCCAACTTGGAGTTGCTCTGAAGTGAATGATAGTAAATTTTCTTCTGCCTCTTATACACAGCAAAATACAACTAGCTTTAGTGAGGAGCAATTTTTTAAAACCATGTTCTGAAAAGGCAAAGGTAAAATAAACCCACTATATTTTTGTACTCATTAGCTTCTTATTCATTACTCATTACTTCTCCAACAACTAAAAAGAAAATTATTGGGAGCTATACATATTCTTTTTAAAATCAGTCAATAAGAGAATATCCAAATAATTGGATTTAAAATCTCATAAGACACAATAGTTTAGTTCTAGAGATTCATCACGYAAAACCCAAATCCCCAACAGTGAGCATAGGGGGCTGGGCATGTGACTTAGTATGACGGTCCTACCACTGCTGACCAAAACTACCATCAAGCTTTGTAAAAGCTTTTCAGTATCACATAAATTTTCTGCCATTAATCAAAGGTGACTGAATTTAATTGCAAGTAAAACATGCTACATAATCTTTGCTCAGCAAAGATGATCATAAAATCCCAAAGACTTCTAATCTCAATTAAAATTTGCTCTAAAAGGAGCTCCTAGTGTTTTGACCTGGCAGGTTACTTTCATCCTAACTTGTCTATGCCAGAGTTGGTACATCTACAAAATTTACAAAGGTTTGGCATTACCATACAAAACTTGTAAATTTTTAAATTTCTCGCTCTTTGAATAATTAGCCTAAGCCCTGGGAAGTTACGAWTATTAAAAGATAATCATTAAACAGATTGTCTTCAGATACTTCTGTCACTACTCTTAAAAATCTACCCCTAAAATAAGCTTTAGATTCTTATGCCATCACATTTCCGAACACGCTTCCGAGTGTGGAATTCAGGCATCACAAGGAGAAACTGAACATCAGACAAGGTCAAATGTATTTCTACATCAGCCCTTCACACCACCTTTCCCCCAAGTTCTCCTGACTTACCTGAACGTAACCCCAGCCATTTCAAACATGAGCCTCGCCGCTGTTGTCTCATCACTGTCATGGTATTTATCAGACATAAAAATAACTTCTTTTATACCTTAAAAGGGAACAGTGGAAGCCCCATTAGTATATGCATATATAGATCCTGCAAAAGACAGGCAGAGGCAGATGGAGTTCTTGTAACATCCATGATTAATTACCTTTTCTAACTGCTTTCAGACAATGTCCAGTTACTAAAAAATATATCTGCTGCTTTCTAATATAGCAGAGGGTGGATTATATTTAATCTGCCCTCCAGTCTTCATGGATTTTTTTTTTAACAAATGCAAAATGCAAACATGTCAAATAGTCAAGCCTTAATCCAATTAACAAATTTTCTTTACTGCAGGTAAGCAAATATTTATTCACAAGGCAAATACTCTGAACTTAAGAGGGATACAGGAGGAGTGGCAGGTGCTGGCCAGTTGAGAGATTGGTACCACTGGGCTTCCAAGAACGGCTCAGCAGAACAATTCAACCCAGCTCCATGGAGGGCAGCTCCGCTTCCTTTTCCTGCTCTCACCAGGCAGTACAAACCTGAGAGTTAGGAATCCCAGTGGCTCTGCACTCCACCAGCTCTGGGAGGAACAAGGGAGCCAACCACAGAGACCATAAGCTGCTCAGTATATGCACCTGCTGCCACCTCTGTAGCCTGCAGACGGCTGAGGAAACATCCCAGAAGATCGAAYAGCAGCAACAGCGTGGGAGCCCGAGCTGTTCCTTAAGGGCGGCTTCTGATTCAATCAGACCTCTTCTGCTCTGAGATCCACGGGACTGATGATAAACAGCCCCTTTAAACCACACATCTGGCTAAACATGCTAAGTCTTTAAATCTCAAGCTGAGAGCTTTATGGAGATAAAGTGTAGCTGAATCTTAGATGTGACAGTTTGAAAAAGGTGAAATATTCAGAATACAACCATGGAGATTTATGGTAACTGTAATATAAGAAAAACTTAAAGTAGTACCATTTGAGTCTTACAGCATTTATATGCAAAGATATGCTTAGATCCTCAAATATCTACCATGTATTAGCTACAAATTAAAATTTGATATACAGACTCCCAGCTGACCTTGTTTCTGACAGAAGTTCATTTCCCTCCCTCCCCCCTAATCTATGCACAATATGTCAGAGAATGGTAAATTGACAGTAATTATATGCAATGCCTGTGTTGTTTTTTGGCAGCTTGCAGTTTAAGAAGTTGCAAACTAAATTAAAAACATGCTAAGAATCACAGAGGATGCAATTAGTCTTAGACTACCTGGCACCATTCAAAAACAAAACAYGGGAAATATCTTGCAAAGTTGATAGTGCAATTAATTTAGATCTAAACAATAGCAATTTAAGATCAAATGCATCTGCAATGAGCTACTGATGAGCAGGCAGCAATGCAAATGTGACAAATGGAAAGGCCGGGTTCCTACCTGCCTGGATGATGAGCTTAGCACATTCATTACATGGGAACAAGGCGACATACATGCTACAGCCCTTCACATCAGCCGAATTCTTGTTCATGATGGCATTTAGCTCAGCATGGCACACTGTGAGTTTGAAAAAGAAAGAAAAACTTTGATTGCAGTTCATGAAGAATTTACCAAGTGTTAGGCATTCCATTCCCCCCTCTGAAATAGACTTGATAAAAATAAATTGATTAGAAACAGCACATACTGAGAACACCAAATGAGGCCCACACGGTCTAAAAAACCGTCACTGCGGCAGCCCTCAGTCTGTGAGCACTAGAGCAGCCAGGGGGGCTGAGGTCAAGTACCTTCACCCACCTTAGGCCAAGCAATAGCTCATCGCTCCACAAGACCCTGGGGTATTGAATTGCCCACATAAAATGGCTCATTTGTGTGTTGATATGCACACACAGGGGTACTCTGTGTGGCTGTTAAGAGGGCAGGGAGCAGTAAGAGCAAGAGAATCAAGAAGCAAAGCTGAGCATTTCTACCCTGAGGGATCTGCTTCACCTCATCATTCTCAGTCCAAGACACACAGGAAAAACACTAGATAACCAGCAGTTTAGCTTTTATAGGAAAAACATTCATCCACTTAACAGCAATGATGAATCAAGCTCTTGATGCTATCCCATTCCACCAATGATCCCAAAACGAGGGTCGAGGGCTATCCCCTGGCTTGCCTGAGTTAAGGTCAAAGGGAGCCCCGTCCTTTCTTCCGTCCCCATACCTGTCAAAGCTGGCTGGTTTCTGAGGTCCAGTTTGGCTAGGTGTTCTACCACCTGCCAGCAAGGGCGTTCCTCCTCTGGAAGGAGTGAGAAGGACTCCAGCACAGGCTGGTTTTGAATCCCTCGGCCTRCCCATGGTTTCTGTATGGCCATCTTGTATCATTATGAAATTTCTGTGTTATTGAAGACTTACTACACACTACTTACGGCAGTAACGGGCAAACTTGTCCCTGGAGGAGCTTTCAAAACATTCATATCTGTGTTCCATACCCAGAGAGTGTGATAGTCTGGGGTGTGGCCTGGACTTGGGAACTGCAACTACCCATGGGTGCCTCGTGTTCTGCAGCAGCTCCAAGATGCTACAGGCAAAAAGCTGACCAASAGCTCTCTCGGGAAATGTTAGTAGGTACTCACATTTAAACGAGGAATACCATTTTTGAGGGGGTCTCAGCCATGTGTGAAAACAAACAGTCTCTGGCACTACAGGGAAATCTAAAGAAATAAGCTGCACTTAATCAGATTCCATCCCATCAGAGAATAATCCTCGCTGGTCACACAGGGATCTGGGCCACACCTCCCAAGACTCCCTGGTTTAACAAACCCCAAGGCTACGGGAGGATAAGAAAAGGAAACTCAAGAAGGAGCAGCATGGCCAAGTGGGCACTGGCCTTGGACAGGCTCCCCTGGCCCCTTCTCCCCTGGTGACCAAGATGCTGRGAAGCTGGCATTAACACTGCTCAGTGTTAAAACCAATTAGATGTAATTGTTTCTTTTATTTCCCCCTTGAGGGCAGAGCCCAGCCTTCTAGGTTCTTTGTAACTTCCCCAGAGTCTAATGTGATGCCATGAACATAATGGGTGTTAAATATTTATTGAATGAATAAAGAAGGAAATGCAGATTCCAATTATTGATGGTGACATTGGGAAATACCAAAAGTCCTCCTAAATTCAAATATCAAAAATAGGTTTTCCCATTTAATAAATATTTTTGATGGTGTTGGTATTAATATTCAGAACTTCAGAACTAGAGTCTTTGAAATTGTTACGAAACACTATTATGATGTCCGCTTTTCAATCTCTTAAGAATTGTCACACTGAATCTTTCTCCAATTCATCAATTCATCYGAGGCAGTTTGGGGCAAAACTTAACACTATCGGTCTGGATTCATTAGTGAAAATTACCATATGAAACAGATTCTCTAGGGAAGTATCTGACGTCCCTGTGTATCAAGGGTGGTTTATAGAAATAACAGACTTCTTTTCTCTTAAAAAAAAAAATCAAAAGATGAAAAATACAGAACGTCTTGTTAATAACACATGAGGTCTCTGGACAACATGAGYGCCAGAGTGGCAGGTACAAGGGAAACTCTCACAAGGAGTAGTCCATAACCCACAATCCCACATATTCAAAACGAGACAATGACAAAAACCAAACCCAAGCATTCAGTCAAGAGCACAGGATGTACCCAACTCTGACTTCTCCTGCTCAGTCCTAYACCCCTTCAACTCAGACACAGCCAGCACCTGCCTCTTCCCCAGAGTCCTCGGCCCACCAAGGCCTGTCTGATGAACACCTGCTTTCCAGACTCACCTGAGGGGCCGAGGGAGGAGAAGCCCCAGCTTAGGGGAGCACTGGCCCCTGTTTACCTGTTCCCCACCCTATTATTCCCCATGAGCTGTCGAGCTGTTACCCAGGTCCTGATATCTGGCCTCGCCCTTCTGGCTTAATACCTGCCTCTCTGGTCCAGGGTCTCCACTGCCCCTGTAGTTCTAACTACAGGTTCCCTCCAAAACCTCCTCGCAGGTCCCTTCAGGTTCATTSCACATGAGGAGACATTACTCCATGGGGCCTCAGGCCCAGGAGCCCATGTCCTCAGAGAAGATACAGGGCAGACCAATTTGATGGCCATCCATTCAATTTGCTTAATATAGGTTGGTCTGAGTGAAGTGCTGGGGACTCATTTACGCAGTCTAGTCATCTATATTGATCACAAGTCTGCTTCCACACAAAGAGCACTCAGAACCAATGTGTCTGGCCTGTACCTCGCTTGCTCCGAAGCCCAGGCTAGTCAGACATAGAGCCGACCCCTTCCCCCTTTGCATTCTGCACCTTGGCAGGCAGGCATGGAGCAAGAACTTTTGCAACAGCAGGGCACCGGGCTCAAGGCCCAATTTGCTACTTAGAAGCTGGATGACCTTTGGGCTAGAAATGTAGCTTAATGGCAGAGCACTTGCCTATCATGCACCAGGCCAYGGGTTCAATCCCTAGTGGGGGCTGGAGGCAGGAGAATAAAAGATGACTTTTGACAAGGTGAACAAGTGCCATTTTGGTTTACAAGAGTAACATTGGCTCTAAGAAAGTACATTCCCAACTAACTAAATAAAAGTATAATTTTTAAAACACCAAATACATTTGATTTTTTTTTTAACTTCTTCCTAATATTCTCAGTTTCATTCAGTCCTCCAGAGCATCTGATCATCTCTAAAACTTTTCACTAAGAAAACATGGATCTYCTCTCCTGGTGCCAACCCTGAGGCCCCTGCTTGCCTCTGCTTGGTTTTCTTTACCTTTAAACACAGACACTTACTCCTCATTCTGAAGAGGTCATCTCCCAGCATCTCTCCTTCTTCTTTTCAAGGAGAATCAGTATTTCAACAACAGCTTCCTCAATTTTTTAAATAATCATCTCTTGACTTTGTACTGCAAATATAACCTCTAGTTTTCTTTGAAACGATGTTTTCAAACTACAAGTCATAAAACCAGTTTAATGAATTATAATCAGTTTGTTTTGTTTTAATGAAACTGACAGGGTAAAGGCAGAAACTGGAATGTATCCCYCATGCAGGGTTTCGTACTTCTAAAACCTATGTTTACTATGTTTCAGGTAATACATTTGCTGAGTGGCCAAGTAATAAATGTGAGATTCACTACTCTATGGCAACCTGAAGGCTCTGTCATTTGCTGATTAATGTTCACAAGCAATTACTGAAAAAGAAGGAGGACGAGGAAAGAAAAGAAAAAGGCCTGATTTGCAGCATCCACCGATTTTTGTGGAGTAAATACCTCCCAATGTGACGGAGCTGGGAGAAGTGCAGAACTGGCTGTGAAAGCTGATTGACCCAGCTCCTCCACACCACTGCATGATCCTAACATTACCAAAACCCACAGCCTCTTTTTGGTTGCAATCTTTGAATTCGCTGTTCTCTTGGCCCTGGAATAGTGGACTACTATTTACCCTAAAACCTTCAGGACCGCGATACCCTGTCTTTTTCCTACCTTTCTGTGGATCCTTTTCTTTTTTCTGCCTTTCTGGGCCCTTCCCAAGGTTCCATCCTAATTTTCCACTTCTTTCCTACAGTCACTGATTTAAGGATTCATCTATTCTAGATTCTCAGATAACACATCTATTGTAAAACTCTGGATTCCACACTCCTAACCCTAATTTCCCATCTTCTTCTCAAGCCTTCTTTGGGGTGTGTGTGTGGGGGGGGGCGTCTCGGTACCTTTTCCCACTACAATGAACATTTACAGATATCTGACAGCAATAAACTAAAGAATAAATTTCTCTAGTGCTAACATGCCTAAAAAGAACTGCAGCAAGAGCCAAAATTTATCTGGGTGCAATCACCAAACAAAGACTGGTTCTGTTAGTTTTAAACATAGTTTTTGTATGCTGAGTAGGAATAAGGACAAAGTATTTAAAATACACAGCATCTAAGGACTACTGATTGTTAAAATTGTCCAAAAACAGATGAATTTTCCAACTACCTAGAGTSACATACTGACAGCTAAGCAATAAGCAAAAGAAATCTTCAAATAATTCATATATATTTGATAAGCACAAAGAGTGACACAAAACCCTTCAATTACTCCCAACATTGTTTAAAAGGAAGAGAATCAAATGCTAAAAATACCAGATTAGTGCTTATAAAGTTCTTGATTGCCAAAGGAGAACCTCTGTTTCAGGTAATTATAAGACAATTCATGTGCTTTGGTCTTGTCTTTTCTTTTCTATTACTAACTGTCAGAATTCAGAACTGCATTAACCTTGGACCACTAGGAAGAGATTGTATAATTAGAAAACTGTATTTTTCAAATTCTCTCTTACTAGGGCTTGATTAATCCTCACTGTCTCATGTAGGCGGTTCTTTAGAAGTTTGACAAATTAACAGGATATACTCTATCCTTCGTTGAATTTAAGAGATTCAACGTTTTACAGATTTAACTTCCATCTTATTTGATATTAAGGCTAATACAATATCTATTTTTACAGTAGTACTATTAAGGTTACTTAAATAGTTAAAGAAAAAAACTGCCCTGAATAATGCTCAACAAATTCTAACTGCTACACAAATA